CCCGGTCATAGAGATGCCACTTCTCTGCAGCCCGCCTCCAGCTCCCCACACCCGCAGCCGCCATCAGGCACACAGGAGCTCCCTCTCCACAGTGAGGCCCCCAGGCCACTGCTCCCCTCGGAGTCTGAGCACCCAGGGGCAGGCGGGCGGCCCCTCGCTCTAGCAAACAGCCCAGTGCTCCCGTTCGATGGCTCTGGATCTCCAGAGCAAGAAGGGGTGCAGGATCGTGGACGTGACTGCGAGCTCCAACACACACACACGCACTCGAGCATGGCTGGGAGCAAAGGGAGGAGCTGCACAACACTCAGACCCAGACTGAAGACTAGAGCGTGACAGTCACTCCCCTCAACCTTGACTTTCAAGGTGGCCTGTTTTCACAAAAGGTGTGAAACTCTTCTGAGTGCTCCCAAGAGCTCCCCTCCTCCCCCCACTGGCACCCTCCTCTCCTGCGGCTCCCCGTCCAGGTGTCACCCAGTCCAGTGTCACCCAGTCCTACTCCGCCAGGCCCTCGGCCAGGAGTGGCCACACGATGCCCTCCACCTTTCACACAGTTTGTCACTTCAGCTGCACCACTGATCGGCCCTGCCTCCGCCACAGCTCATGGTGCCCCGTCTGCAGGAGACTCGCAGGGACGCTGACGGCACAGACGGTGCGATATAGGGGCAGGGACCTTGTGTGGAGCTCGTTTCATAAACAGTTCCATGGAGGAACTTGGTCAGGAAACTGGAGCAGCAATTCCTCAATGTTTTCCTCCCTACAGAACTTTGTACTGAAGATTTTCCTTCTAAAAACAAATCCCGACACTTTTTATTTTAAAAGAGCATGTGGAGTGTGGTCCCGTCTCGGAGTAATGTCCACACTCTCTCTGTCCCCAGGTGCTGGGAACGTGTCCATGGGAATCACACTAGGGAGGGGGGACCCCAATCTCATGCACATGAGCACAGGTGTCTGCTTTCTCCTTTAACTATTAACTACATGGTACTAAGAGATTTTAGAACACGTCTCTATCATTTTACAAAAAAAGTAAAGTTATTTTTTTCCTCACCTAAGAAAGTATTTACTTATTTTAGAGACAGAGGGAGAAAGAGAGAGGGAGAAAAACATCAACGTGAGAGAGGAACACTGACTGGCTGCCTCCCATATGCACCCTGACCGGGGACTGAACCTACAACCTTTTGGTGTACAGGATAATGCTCCAACCAACAGAGCCACCAAGCCAGGGCTAAAGTTATTCTTTTAAAGTAACAAACCTGGCCCTGCTTGGTGTGGCTCAGTGGCTTGAGTACTGGCCTGCAAACCAAAGAGTCACTGGTTCGATTCCCAGTCAGGGGAGAGGCCTGGGTTGCCAACCAGGTCCCCAATAGGGGGCGCACAAGAGGCAACCACACACTGATGTTTCTCTCCTTCTCTTCTCCCTCCCTTCCCCTCTCTCAAATAAATAAAGTCTTTTTAAAAAATAAAATAGAATTTAGCTTCTTTTTAGTCTGTTTTTACAAACTTCCAAATAAGAGTGGCCAGCTTAGAAAATTTAATTCCACTAAGAGAAAAATGATCTTACATGAGCCTCAAAGTATCTTGTTTCTTGACTACAATATCATCGATTCCAAAGGTATGTCAAACATTTTAACCCTTAGTTCTTTAACAGTCAGTGGTCCATTCCCAATGAGCCGAGTTGGTAGGTTGTTCAGACCTCACTGTCAGGGAAGAAAAAAGAAGATTCACATTTCATATGTTTTCTTTGTACTTTCAGCTGGACTTTATTTCAGTAACAGTACAAACAGAAGCTTAAATAGCACAGGTGAGTCACTGTCATTAAGATTTTTTTCTATTGATTTCTGCTCCTGGGCACAATGGAGTGTTATGGACCAGCTTCGCCCTTACCTCAAACAACTAAAAAAAAATGGACCAAACCTATGAAACAATGGTTTCCAACCCCAGACCACAGGCCAGGTAGACTGTGACTCTTAAGAGAGTGGATAAGAAGAGAGCCAAGAGAGCTCCCAGGTCTCCACGAAATGGGGCCAGCAACCCAGCGGAATGCAGGGTGCAGAGGTCTGTGGTCTAGGAGGGCACTGCAGGACCAGAGAGAAAAGAGGCTGGAGGAACGGCACCTCTCTGCAGGCTGACCTGAGTCCCCACAGGTACACATGCCAGGGGACACCCTGTACGGTGGGGCAGGGGGGATGGGGTTACTGATGGGGGAGGTGGAACAAGTCTCCAAGCCCAGGGCCCCACACCGACTGAGAATATTCCCAGGCCCCAACAGCCAGTATGGGGACTCCTGACATCGTGCTCAGAGGGCTTTGTCCAGTCGGCGGAACAAAGCTGCCATGGGCTGAAGGCAACACTGTTTCCGGGTGCTTCACACGTTCACACACAAAGCTCAAAATCACTAGAGCAACATGGAAAACAAACAACATAAAATTCACAGAAAAGCAGAAAATACAGCCCATAATGAGGAGAAAAAGGAATCAATGGACCCAGAAACTGCACAGACGAGTACAAGTAAAGATGCACATAGACAGGAGCAAGGTCACCAGACACGCAGCAGGGGAGGAGGAGGGAGAGACAGACCCCTGGACTCGGCCTCATGAGTGTGGGAAATGTGGGTGATGTCAGGCCCGACACCCCGGCCCAGAGGAGCATGCTGGACCACTTTGAGAAGACCAGAGAGGTGCTAGCGAACTTCAACCACCTACTGAGTGCCCACCTGCAGCAGACGAATGCGCGCTTCCCTCACCGCACCAGAACCCTGGGGGAGATGAAGCGGGACCTGGACAGCATCCTCCATGGAATGGAAACTCTGGAAGGGAAGCCATCCTGGCAGCGCCCACAGGCCTCCAGCCACATTCCAGAGGCCTCCCTCCTGCAGGGCAACAATGAAGATCCTATCCCACCTGGCACAACCACCATTGCCACCTTGGAACAGGGCACAGGCCCTCATGTCGCCAGCCCAAACAGCATCTCCCTTCTCTCGGCCCTGGCTTCAAGGACCTGTCCAACAACCAGCCAGACTCACCTGTCATCAATGGTCACAGCCAGACAACAAGGAGATGTCGGGTGAGTAGACTGGCTCCCAGGTGCCCAGAGGGATGGCAGGGCTCTCCAGGTGCCTGAAGTGGCAGTGGGTAACCCTGCCTCCAGACTGTCAGCTTTGCCACCTAATTCTGTCTGCCAGGGCACCCTGGGAGATAAGGCTCTCTCCTGCAGGTGTGGGATTCCTGGGGTCCACTCTCCCCATCCCTCCCTCTCTGACTGCGTCCCTGTCCTGCAGATTGGCCAGACCAGGGGATGAGCAGTCACCTGGAGCCGTTGAGCTGGGCACAAGGAAGCTTTCCCAGAGCCAGGCCTGAGGTGTGCTCCTAACACACACACCCAAGACACACACCAGATATCCCCTGCTCGGCACCCCAGTCAGGTCCTCCTCGAGGCAGGCAAGCACGCTCAGGCCTGAGGTCACCCCACCCCACTCCTGCACAGTAATTCAGGCCTCCCTGTCCCTTCCTCCAATGAAAGTGTTACATACTTTCTCCCATCAGTATCTCTGAGTTTCTGAAACGGGCAGAACGCCCACGACTGTCTTCTCAGCCCCAAGTGTGATGAGATCCAGGTCTGTCTAACCAGAGCTGTGGACCTGGAGGCCCCGGAGGCCTGCAGGCCTCTCCCAGGGTTTCCATGAAGCAAGCCAAGCCACCACTGACAACAGACCTTAACCGAGTACTTTTGTGCCCAGTGCTGCCAGATGACATCGATAAGAAGACTCCTTACTAAGAAGGAAAAGGAGACGAGCATATAAAGGCATGAGTATAAGTACCAGGTTTGCAAGCAGCTGGGGGAGAGCACAAGCAGTTAGGAGAAGGCGGGAGACACAGAAGAGGCACATTCTGAGATGAAAGCTGCAGGAGACGTGACGCACAACCAGGCGTGTTGTCATGAGGCAGCTGCCAATCACCAGCTGCCCACAGCTGCAGTCTTCTGAATCATCCACACAGTTTCTGTGAAGGAATGTTCAAGTTGAATGGGAAATGTGATGCAGATCTGTTGCTCTACCACTCAGTCATTCTGAATGTGACGGCCACACAGTACATGTGCTCACCCATTGGCACCTGCCACCCCCACTAACTAGTACAGTGAAGTCGTCACAGTTCACACATGCACATTCCAGTCCACTGTCCTTGGCCGCCAGGTTACATGGATGTTGTACAAACCATTCTCCCTGTATTAACAATGGCTGGACTTTTTCTGGACAGACTCTACATATGCTCCTTGACTTATGTTGGGTTTACACCGATAAACCCATCATAATTGAAAATATCTCAAGTGGAAAGTGCATTTTAACGTGACACAGTAGAGTGCCAGGTGTGGAACTTCAGGACGGAGCTGCGGCCCGCTGCACTGTCCAGCATCCCACAGAGTATCCCCACTGCATATCCCTGGCCTGAGAAAAGTTCAAAATTCAAAATTGGAAGTATGGTTTCTACCAAATGCAATTGCTTTTGCACCACTTGTCAGGTTGAAAAATGGTGGTAGAGAAGCCTGTAAATATACCTATAAAGAAGTCAGGTATAAATGTAACCAGATTCCAGGACAGAGAAGGGTTGGGGTGGGAGGCAGAAAAGATACTTCAATAAATAAATGTCTGTAATTTTCTCAAACGTACTGAAAACTACAGATCCATAAAGGATAGTGAAATCCCAGCACAAGGCTCAAAAGAAATCCCCCAGAGCCCCTATAAGCATCCTACTTTGGGGAGCGTGTCAGACACTGGCGATCACGGGGTCATTGTGACCCCAACGGTCAAGCCCCCGCCCCCATACCGCCTCGGACCAATGCACGCATGCGCGGTGCGGCCCGGGGCTTAGCGAGGCTGGCGAGCATGCGCAGCACCGCCTTGCGGGGTGGGCGGGGAGGGGGCGGCCGAAGCTTAGGCCACTACCGGAACTCGTCACACGCGCAGTGCATGACTGGGCCGTTGAGCATGCGCGCTGGAGCATGACCGCGGCCGCAGTGGTTGCCAGGTAACCGCGAGCGGTCAGGTCCTGGGAGCAGGCCGTGAAGAGTTTGCCGAGGCCGAGTGAGGGCGAAGGAGTGGGTGTAACCCTGTCCCCTGCAGGGTTTGGAGGACTGGGCCCCGAGACCCCCGCCTGCGCATCCCCCCGACTTCCACAGGGTTGCCAGGGCCCTCAGTCCTAGGGCACCCAGGGTCTGCACCCGGTAGGTCCTAAAAACGTCCCGGTCAGCAATCGGGGACTTCCGAAGCCCAACGCCGCTGGGCACTGGCCAGGGCTGAGTCCAAAGGCATGGCCAAGTGGGGCGGAGTGTCTTAACCATTTAATTTTACACTGTCCGCGCTCCTCTGGCTGTCCCAGGTACACTGTCCCCCAAAGCGGGCCCAGAGGAACCACCAGTTGTAGGACCGAAGACCAGGGGTCCAACCGCGGTTTCAAACCATAGGTCTGTGTCTCGTGTGGGTGTTCAGTGAGCATGTTTTAGTATGCAGCCTGAGGTCAAGGAGACAAATTGGGAACTACAAGCTCTGGCACCGTACTGGTATTTTTTTCACCAAGCCCTACCTCTTGTAACTAGTTGTTAATACTAGAGTTTACAGAGAAAGAATGTTCCCGTTAAATTCAGCACTTAACACAGGACATGGGTTCAGTGTGTAACCCTACCCTTGCCACAGACTCAGCACACACTCTTGCAAGCTGCCTTATCTCTGCACCTGTCAGAAAGTGGGGGGAGGCTGACTATTTGAGAAGTCTCAACTCTGCAGTGTAATGACACCGCAGAGTAGAACACTCCAGTGACATCTGTCAGCACGACCTGCTCCTATGCCTGCCACCTCACTGTCATGATGAAGTGACTGTCACAACAGAACTCCCCTTGCTGTGTCCCTAGGTCCAGAGCCGAACTGGACACATCTGTACCGATAGCCACCACTCCAGGAGACCGCAGACCGCACCTCTCCCTGCCCTGGCTCCTTGACGAGCTCACTCTACCAGGCTCCTCTGGTACAAGGGTGGAGCCTTAGATCCCTCTTGTGGATTAATTCATTTCCACTCTCACATTTAGGCCCACAGCACTATTTCCTAGATTACTTCGGTAACTCACTGTTTCTTCCCAGAATATTTTGGACTCTTGTCTAAAACCTGAAAGGGCTAATTACAGAGTCTCCCAGCAAGGAAGTAAAGCAATAATAAGCTTTTACAGAGTATCTTTGGTGGGAAAGGCCCACAGAAAATACGTTACAAAGATTGTCTCATTTAATCCTAACAATAACTCTGCAAGGTGTGTATTACTATACCCGTTTTAAGGTAAACACACACACACACAACTGAGACTAAGATAGGAAAGGTAAATTGCCTGACAAACAGGTGGGGCAAGAGTGAATCCCAAGTGCGTCCCCATATTGTGCCTGCTCGAGGTGTGGATGAAGTGATGCTGGCCGCGTTCCCCTTCTGCTCTCTCTCCCCCCAAAGTGGGGAGCCTGCACTCAAGTCCCCACAGTGTAGGTGCTCACGTCCCTCTGTCCCTCTCATCCCAGGTGAGTGTCACCTCTAGAGGGCAGGTTCCACTCAGTCCCCCTGGCCTTTGGGCTGAGGCTTTTTGCACATGCATGGAGCACCATTCTGCTGAGCGCTGGAGGGTTCTCCTTTTCAAGTGAGGTCTAACCCTGCCTTCCTGCTGACTGTGTTTTCATAGGAGGAGAATGAAAGGAATGCAATGTGATGACGTGGTTTGATACAGCCAAGCGGGCAGCAGCACTTCCTGGTTTGGCATGTTAAAAAATAAGGTACACAACTCTCATTAGACGCTCACACGTGGCTTCAGTCGTGAGTATGTTTTCATCTGGCTGCGTGGGAGCGCACAGGACGGCTGCAGACCATGCGTGCACAAGGGACTGTCAGCTAAGCACTCACTGCAGGCCCCTCTCAGCTGCATGGCAACTTCGCTCCCGGTAACTTTCACCAACGCAGCATTCTCTTTAGGATAAGAGAAGCACCATTCGCCTGCAGCCTGATTTAATCAGAGTGAAACGGAATGAGTCTGGGCATGCACGTCCTTCATGGGTCATAATAAATATATCCATATTGTAATTAGCGGCCTCGGTGATCAAATGAAGCGACGTTACTGTGTCGTCACCATGGGTGAGGAGGCTGGGCTCGGCTCCAGCTTGGCTGGCAACGGGTTGCACACCCTCCCTGCTAGATTCAGTCTAGTACACTTTTGAGATCAAGAATTAAAGCTTCAGTTTTCTTCTGAGTGACACATTACGTAACGTTCTGTGTGTGCTGCTTTTCTATGAGTTTCAGGGGCACTTGTGTAGACGCGGTAACTTAGCAATCACTGCGGTTGCTTTACAAGATCACATTTTACATGACCTTCAACTACAAAACCCTTCGGTGGCCAATCCTTCCCAGACAAAGACACAGAAGAGAGAGAATGAACTCAAATCTCTAAAAAGAAATGCGAAAGCTGTAATAGACACAGGACTTCAAAGGAGGACACAAGGCCCCAGAGAAGCTGATCCAGAAAGAGAGTATGTTCTCGATCCCAAACCACCACCACTAACTTTGGGTAAGCTGATTTCATCATTCACATTCTGGCTTCTTCAACCTAAAGAATTTAGTTGAGACTGATAGTATAATTTTCCTCGAACAGAAATAATTTGTAATCTTATAGAAAGAGACACATGTACTAAAGTTTAAAAATGAGAATGGGGGTCCTGGCTGGTGTGGATCAGTGGCCTGAGTGCCGGCCTGTAACCAAATGGTCACTGGTTCGATTCCCAGTCAGGGCACATCAGGCCGGGTTCCCCACTGTGGGGCATGAGCAAGAGGCAACCACACACTGATGTTTTTCTTCCTCTCTTTCTCCCTCCCTTCCCCTCTCTCTAAAAATAAATAAAACCTTTTTAAACACTTAGGCAGGTAAACGAAGACAGTAATAAGTAAGCATCTATGCGTCCACACTGACAGAAGTGAGGGGAGGAATGCAGAGAAAGCTCTCGCAGCAGAGTGACCGCTAACTCAGCAGAGGTGCTAGAGACCGGAAGTCGCTATTCGGTGGCGGCACAGTGAGAACACCCACTGGTGGGGAACCCACACTGCGATGCAGTCCCACAGCACCTCCCCTAGTCCGCCACCTCTGGAACGGCACACCCGCAGCTTGACAGAGGTGTCACACAGGGCAGCCAGCACCGTACCAAGTGATCAGAGCGACCGTCCCACAGAGGGACTCACCCCGATGTCAGGTGTCTCCCTCCCCTGCACTCTGAAAAGGGCACATTCTCGCCACAGTGCCCCCCCGAATTTAATCCTGAGGAAGCGTGAGACAACCCCAAGTTGACGACATTCTACATGATTCCTAGCCAATACTAACCAAAAGTATCAAGTCCAGAAAAGCAGATACAGACTGAGGAACTGTCCCAGATGGGGCGGGGACAAAGAGGACACGACAGCTGAGTGCAGTGTGGAGTCTGGGTCAGAAAAAGGGGGTTGAGTGAGACAAGAGTGACCCCCACACAGGAGCAGATGGGCAGCGTTAGGTCGATGTTAACTGCCTGGTTGGCCCTGCGTGTTAGCCTTTCAGGAAGCTGGAAAAAAACACACAAGAATTCTTTGCACTTTCTACAACCTTTTGCAAGTCCAAAATTACTTTAAATGGGAAGTTAGAGACAGGATTTTCAAAAGATGCCGGGAGTGGGAACAGGTGCATCTGGACACTGTGTCCCAGCACCAGTGGGACAGGCACAGGGCCTGGCACAGAGGGGCTGCCACCGTGCCCGACAGACACCTTCCTGTTTCACTCTGAACTGCTAGCAGCTGGCTGTGCTCCAGAAAGGGGTGGAGCTCAGAGCAGTTAAAATTATCCATGAGCAGCACCATGCCATCACCTACATTTTTGCTGATATTGTTTTAACGTTAGCGCAGAAGCTGGGCCTGTTCGAATCCCCTCCACTGCCACTCTCGTCAGACGAATGGGACAAAGTGAGACAGAGGTCCGTCTCGCAAGGAGACTCCACGCAGCCGTGCCCAGTGTGCAAGGAAGAGTTCCAGCTGCGCCCCCAGGTGCGTAGCCCCCAGCGTGCACCAGGTGGGCGAGATGAGCAAGCCCAGTGGTCCCACTCCTGGGGGACACCGAACTGGGGCTGTTCTCACGTGGGTACTGTGAGCCAGGCACCAACACAGACTCCGGGCTTCTCTTCTCCACTCCCTCCCCCAGGGGCCCTCAGACACTTAGACCCTCTCCCACTCATGAAGGTCACATGCCAGTGGGAGCTGAGCCCCGCACCGGGCGGGTTCTCTCAGGCAACGGGGACTCACACTCAGGCATCGAGTCCAGAGGCCGATCAACCCTGTGCTGCCAGCCACGAAGGCCAAACAGAGGGAGCCACGGAGGACAGGGTGCAGGGAGGTGTTCCAGGCCCGATGGGGGGGTGGGGAGCACAAAGGAATTTTCAAGCTGGTGTGCAAACCGAATACAAAAAAAAACCAGGCTCGGCTAACTCAGTAATCTGTGGGACATTCTGTAAGGCCTCTCATCCCCCACTCATGAATTTGTCACGGTGAGACCGAGGGTTCCACAGACTGCAGCATCCATCCATATCACGGGTTCCCCGTGCACACTCGGTCTGCCTCGTTAGCTGGAGTCTGCACATTAGGGGCACTTCCCCCTGCAGTCATTTCCCTTCCAAGCCAATGGCCCCAGGACAGGGCCTCCCCCAGAACGGGCGCCCGGACTCGGGGAAACACAGCAGGCAGAGTGAAAGGCAGGCGTCCCCTGCCGCCCTGCCGGGTAAACGCTCACACTGCATGTTTTCATCAGTTTCACTGTTACCGAGTTAGTGCATAGCGAAACTGCCGGTCTTTACAGACGTGAACTCACAGCCTGTTTTACACACACTCTATTCCAGTTCTCTGTCGGGACCTAACCCCACGTCTGTGCGACTCGGGAATTTCTGAAAGATTTTTGCTCTTAAACCACAGGTTTACCATCTAGGACAATTTAACATTTTAATGTAACAAGACAGTTAATGAAGCCACAAGGAGTCTTCCAGGCCCTGGTGACCTCTTTTTTTGTCTGTTTTTTTAATCATTCTGTATTTTTCAGTTACAGCTGACACACACATCAGGTCAGCTTCGGATGCACACCCAGTGATTAGCCTTTGTGTGACTTGCTGGGTGGTCATCCTGACGAATCCCACACCGCCCGGCACCAAACACGGTTACTGGAACGCCACTGAGTCCACAGAACACTCCCCGTCCCCGCGCCTCGGCCCCTTCACCTTCCTCACCCCTCCTCCCGACCCCCTCCCATCGGGCACTGTCAAATGTTCTCGTATCTGTGAGTCTGTTTCTGTTCTGCTTGTTCATTTAATTTGTTTTTTAGATTCAACTGTTGATAGACCCCTATTTATTGCCATTTACTGTTCACATTTTTACCTTTTCTTCTTCTTAAAGAAGACCATTTAACCAGCAGTCCCCAACATTTTTGGCACCAGGGACCGGTTTCATAGAAGACAGTTTTTCCACAGATGGATGAGAGGTGGGGGATGGTTTCGGGGTGATTCAAGCACCTTACATTCAAGCTCACCTCCTGCTGCGTGGCCTGGTTCCTAACTGGCCCAGACTGGCACCGACCTGCAGCCCGGGGGTTTGGGGACCCCTGCCTTTAACATTTCACGTAATAAATGGCTTGGTGACGAGGAACTCCTTTAGCTTTTCCTTATCTGGGAAGCTCTTGATTTGTCCTTTGATTCTAAATGACACCTTCGCTGGCTAGAGTCATTTGGCTGTAGGTCCTAACTTCACATCACTGAGTATTTCTCGCCACTCCCTTCCAGCCTGCAGCCTTTCTTTTGAGAATGTGGCTGATAGTCTTATGGGAACTTCCTCATCTCTAACTGCTTTTCCTGATTACACTGTAAACAACCTGATCTATCAAAAAGGGAGGGGCTAGCATGCATTACACACATTTCTTCCATTGTTTTTATTAAATTCTCACTGAATTCTATGTTTTGTTTGGTTGTGGATATAGAGACACTTGTGCTCATCTTGCATTTCTTGCTGTTGCTCTCATATTGAAGTCTCCCTTGGTTCTAAGCAAGAGCTGGCATTTTTCTGATGCTCACTGACTTCCAAGGTCTCTGACTAATGTCCTGCATCTGTGGGGCAGGGAAGCATGCTCGGGTCCAGCTGGACTCTGATCCTCACTTCCGAGGATGTTTTCTGTGCGTTTTCCACCACCTAGGCATTTATTTTCATTATCTCAGAGAATGTTTGCCAACAGCAGATACCTATGAGCATTTACAGGTATATTTTAAATATACAGAGTGTAACATTCTTCAACACAGATCATCAAGCATCCGTTGATGAGACACTCTGAAAGATTACTGTATTAGGTACACAACAGACTGCTGTTCGATTAAACGGTGATAATTTAAAAGGACCGACGTTACTGCGTTTTTCCAGTGCAGGCTCACTGTTGGCCGTTAGTTTCAAGGAAAGGCTCCAGGTTTCCAAGTCACATTTACTCTTCTACTTCTTTCGCTCTCCCCACTCAGGAAGAGAAGTGCCAACTGAATGAGGGCAAGAGGACGATCACTTGAAAACCTAGAAAGCTCTCCTGAGACCCGATGGCTGGTGTCTGAGACCTCACCCAGAGTGTCACCCAAAGAAATGTCTCTGCCCCCACAGGGCCCGTGGCTGAGGCTTGCTCCCGGACAGGCGTGACTGTCCTGGGCTTCTCCCTCCCTGCCTTCCCTTCCAGGAGAACCAACCGCCTTTTTCTTTACTGGGTCTAAGCCGCTGTCTTGTCCCAACCCAGAATAGCGTCACTACTTAGTGGGAATCTGGTCACAGAGAAGGAAGATTCTTCTTGTGACTGCACTTTCGCTACATTTATAAAACTAAAAGTGATTCTACGACTTACTGCTACTTGAGTGTCAGAATTATATCTCAATAAAACTATGATTTTTAAAACTTTAAGAGTGCAATGTAGTTGAACGAAGCTCTGAAAAAGGTATGTGCTTACCCTTCTGTCCCCTCCCCCCGCCTGCCAGACCTGCCCAGGAAATGCATCCCCTTCATGACTGTTTCATTTTTAAATGTACAGTCATTCCAGTGGCTCAACAGCAACCTTCACTGGTGTGTCTGACGTTTAACTTGGCTTTTCCCATTGAGATTATACACCTGTGCCAGCCATGCTAAACTTAAACACTAAATATTATGAACATTAAGGTTATTAATTTGCTTTTTTAAATTGTCAAAGAAACAAACACAGCTTAACTTTCAAGCATTTGGTGCTTTTTTAATCAATGCATTTATGCTTCTTCTCTGTTAAACTAACTTAAACTTCAAACATTTTTGTCTCCCTGTGGACAGGTGCTGCTCTCCTGCTCCCACGTGTTCCACAGGGTGAGTCGCCCGGCCCCCTCTCCGTTGCCATGTGTGCGACTGTCGCCCACGGCTGCAGGGGACGGGCTCGTCCTCCTCCCTGAACCTCCCCAAAGGGGCATGTGTTTTGTCTGTAATCACCATTGGTCACTAGAATTATGACTTTGGGCTACAGTATAATTCATCCTGGTTAGAAAAACTGTGAATTTTACGTGACAAAGGAACATAAATGTTTGTCTAGCAGGCTGTTAGTAATGTCCATTACAGTGAGTGACAGCCCGCGTCCTGTGACAGCGCAGGGCCACCTGGATACAGTGCCCTCTGCCTTCTCAGAGGTTGTGATATGTCTGCAGGAGTGTTCCTGTAAAACACCATGTGGGGACAAGCTGCGTGAGCAAGGTGTTAACATCTGATGAAACTTCTTCACGATCTAAATTGCACTAAGTCTCATAATTATGAGGGAAAAGAACACTGTAATTATATTAGAAGTAAAAATGCTGTTTATAAGTAATTACCCGTAAAGATTGAAGTGCAATGTCTCCCCTCAGGCGTGCCTTCAAGCCTTTGAAAAGGTCACGGGTAACAAAACCTGTCCCCTCTGCAGACAGAACCAGTACCAAACCCGGGTGATTCACGACGGGGCCCAGCTGTTCAAAAGAAAGTGTGCGACGAGGTGAGAAGGGCCCTGCCCCTGGGACCCCCACTGAGTGGCCCAGGCGTCCCGGCCCTGACAGTCCCTCTCCAACCCCGCGCTCCAGGATCCAAGCCTGCTGGAGGGGACACGTGGTCAGGAAGTGGTACCGAGACCTGAGGAGGACACTGCCACCCACAGACGCCAAGCTGAGGAGAAAATTCTTTGAAGAAAAGGTAGGTTCAGACCCTAAACCCTCCAGAAACTTCAGTTTCTACCCTTTCTTTTAGCCATTTTTTGTATATTTTTTTGGCTTAACAGTTTTCCATCATGTGTCCCTTGCAAAAAAGACAGGCAAGGCGGGGGGGGGGGGGGCAGCGAGGCCTGGGTTCAAATTCTGGCTCAACCCTCACCAGCTCTGTGGGTCAAACAACAGCCGCCCGCGACCCTGGCCACCTCCTTCCTCTGCGACGTAGAGGGGCGACCTTCTGCCCTGTGCAGCCGTTCCAAGAGTTAGAGTGACGTTCACAGCAGGCGCTCACTATAACCGTTCATGTGCGGTTCCGGTTCCTGTCCATCAAGGCATCGCAGGGCAGCAGGCGTTTGGACAGGGTGTTAGCTCGGACCCTCAGGGGGAACCCATGGTCACGTCCCAGGATACACAGAGTTTAGATCCCTGCCCTCTGTTTGGGGTCACGAGTGACAAGAGTTACTGCTCACCGTACAAAGGCCCCCCACCCCAACTATTCCTGCCCTTTGCTCTGAGGGAGGAAGGGGGCTCACTCACAGGCTCCTGGTTTCCTGGGATGCCCGGTGGGCCTCCTCTGCCGAGGTGCCAGTCCCTGGGCCCTCACGCCGCCCTCTGACGTTCACAGGTCTCAGTGCCATGCAGGGACCCTGTAGGAAGGGGACCTGGGCCTCACTCTGTCGCAGCTGACACCCAGTGCCCTTCCCTCCCAGCAACACAGGTACCGCAGGGTCAGAAAAGAGACAGAACTGTGGCTCAGTGTGATGTCTCAGTGTACCTGAGACAACACCCTGCTCTGTCCTCATCAGTAGGACAGCGTGAAACACTCCATGTGAGCAAACCACGAAAACTGTTGTTCATCTTGACAACAAAGCCGTCGAAGCTGGGGGTGGAGAGATGAGATGCCACGGTGCCATCCTGTCCTTGCACTGGGCAGTGTCCCCTCCCGGGGGGGTGAGCAGCAGGGGGAGGCTGTGGACAGGGGCTGCAGGTCCACATTTGTCCATGCTTCTGTGTGGAACCATTATATGTCCAAGTCAGTCATGCCCCTTATTAAGGGAAGGGGGACAGAGTCCTTGTGAAAGACCCCATCCCGTTCTTTCCTGCAGAGCCCCAAACACCCTGGTTCTGCAGTAAAGGCAGCAAACCAGCTTACACTGGTGAGTGGCTAAAACTGGTGCGTGCTGCCTCCCTTCTCCTTGGGCCCTGAGCCCCCTCTTTGTCTGCCTGGAGCGTGTCGAGCTCGCCACCTCTGGATCTCAGGTCCACAGAGGTCATCTGCTCCTGGAAGTCCTTGTTCTCAGCCACGACGCCATCTCGGCCTGCTCTGTGGCCCCTGTGCTTACCACCATGGGGAACCTGGTCTCCTAACCAGCTGGTGGTCTTCCTGGCACCGCCCTTCTTCCTCCACTGGAGACCAGTCGCCTCTCCTTTGTCCTTCACTCCTGAGTCAGGACTGCTTTGCATCCTTCCCTGGCACCCTGTCCAGGCTTTGCTCCGCCCTGCATTCTCTCAGTCCCTCTCAGTGATTCCAGAATATGACAGTGTTGGCTCTCCACACATAAGTGATTCATGATTTTCTGTGACATTTTAACTGCAGGTCTGATAGTCATTTTTAGTTTATATTTTTTCATCTGCACCCACTGTTCTAGTAAGTTTTAAAACTATAGGCTGCACTGTGCTCCCTTCCACACACAGCAAAGAGGCATGAGACTCAACGGACTGTATGTCTGCACACACATGTGCACGCAGTAATTTAGACCTTTCTCCCCAACGGTGTTAATTTGGTGAGATCAGTTTGTTGCGCAAACTTTGTAATTTCTCCCGCTTTCTACACATAGCTTTGCTCTCCATGTTTCAATGGCCTCTAGAGTCCCGAGCTACCGCCGCCAGCTCCTCACCCTTCTCTCCGCTTTCCACACCCCACCCTTGTTCACTCACCCCACCTGGCCACGAGCACTGAAAACCTGCAGACCAAACCCCACTGCAAACACTCGAGGACTGCACTTCATGTCCGACCTGACGCCAGCGGCAGCCTGCACTGCCCCCCAGCCGCTCACCGTTGCGCCTCCCTCGGGCCGAGGGAGCAGAGCCCAGAGGCCGGCTTCCAGCTGCAGGCCACTTACCAGTCAGCCACTGAGTCCCTGGCAGTTCCACAGTTCTCCCTGCCTTCCAACTCAGTGGGACTCAACTTCTGTGAGCTAAAGGCTCAGTGTAGGGGATAACATGCTAAGATTTTAACCTACAGTTTTAAAATGCTGGTGTAGGCTCATGGAATTGGAAAGTCTGAACGTGAAACTGAGTTTCACGTGACCCAGGACTCCACCCACAAGCCCAGACCACAGGGAAGCCTCACTGCGACAAACAAGCGGTTGCGTGCAAAAGAGGGGTCTCCAGGGCTGGAAGTCCGCTGCGTCTTCACCCGGCCAGCACCCCACGCGCCCTCCTGTGACAGGCGCACGGGGACAAGACCCACCTATGCACTCTCACGCCAAACACTGAACCCAAACCCAGTCGAGAGAAAACATGCAACCAAGTGAATCCAGAATGAGGGACGTCCCACAAAGCAGCTGGCCCTGACAGAGAAACGCCGATGCCATGGAGGAGACGCAGCAGCTGGGGGGGTGGGGGGAGCTCCATAATACAGCAGCCTGGGGCTGCAGCAGGGCCACGGGACAGCAAGGTGGCGGCAGCGGTGCTGACCTCCCGTGATCACTCAGCGTAGACAGATTTAGCTTTTCCCATTTCAAGGCTTACAATGACTCACAAGACAAACGAGCAGGTTAAAAGCGAAAGGCCCACCACGCGCAGCCCACTCGAGGTGCCCTCCGGCGCTGAGGCCCAGAGGGCTCAGTGTGCACAATGGGAGGCCCTCCGAGTGGAGGCCGGGCGCACCGCATGCACTTCTGGGTGCGCGTCTGCCAGGCAGAACGGACTTGACTCAGAAGCTCTAGCAAGCGACAAGGACCATTCCACATGATGAAGGGTCGATTCCAGAGGACGTAACAGAAATGAACTCGGAGTGAATTAAAGACCTGGAACCACAAAACTAGAAGAAAAGACAGAGAAAAGTCTCCTCGATGCTGGTCTTGACAATGATTTTTTGGATATAACATGAAACATAAAAGCAAAAATAGCAAAAAGTAAATAAATGGGAATAAAAAGCTTCTGCACAACAAGGAAACAAGCAACAAAACAAACAGGCAGCCTGTGGAGCAGAGAGATATCTGCAGGCCTTGCCCCTGATGAGGGCTGGACTCTCAAACTTTGAACTTCGTAGAGAGCCCCGGCAGCTCAACAGCAATAGAACACACAGTCTGACTGCATGGTGGGCAGAGGACCTCAACAGACCTCTTCCCAAAGGAGAGACCCGGATGGCTGACAAGCACATAGAAAGGTGTTCCACATCACGCGTCGCCAGGGAAACACACACCCACACCACACTGAGTGTGCACCTCAGCCACTGGGGTGTCTGCCATCAAGAACCAGAGACGACCAGTGCTGGCAAAGCTGCGGAGAACAGGGACCCGTGTGCCACGTGCGGGGGTGTCAACTGAATCAGCCACTGTGGAATAGAGCAGGGATGTTCCTCAAAAATTAAAAATAGAACCACCATATCATCCAGCAACCCTGCTTCTGAGGATTTACTCCAAGGACATGAGGTCAGGGTCTCAGAGAGACACCCGCACCCTGTGGCACTGCCGCATGTTCACGGCAGGTAAGACACGGCAACAGCGGAGGGTCCATCCCTGGTGAGCGACAAAGATGGTGAGGATGGCAGGCCAGCCGCCCACCAGGGTCTAGGCTGCTCTCAGCCAAGAGAAAGCCTGCCACCAGTGATGCCGTGCGCGGAGCCTGAGGGCACCACGCAAAGCGGAGTAAACCAGAGACACAGACTGCAGGGCACCACCCACAAGCGAGGCCGAAAGCCCAACTCCCGGGTCAGCACAGGAGGCCCGCAGCTGCCGGGGCTGGGAGACACCGTTTCCGGTCATGGATGAACGGGCTCCGCAGCGCTAACCAGAGCCCGGGGACCAGTCGGCGCGACCGCATCATGTGCTTGGAAGTCGCCGAGACGGGAGTGGGGACAGGCTCCGCTGACCCCGCCGCAGCAGCCATTTCAGTGGGTGGCCGTTCTGCACCATGGCGTCCTTGGCCTTAAACTCGCCCACGTTATGCTGGGCTAGCCAAAGAGCCCGTCCAGTTCTGTCTGTTGAATAAAAGATACACTTTCATTTTCACCAGTAACTTACTGGTTTGGGTGTTTTGAGTACATCGGCTACCTCCTGTGTGGTATAATGTTGGTTATTCTCAATTACTGTCTCAATTTGATCGCTCTCGGCTTCAACTGGTCTTCCCAACCATGGAGCATCGTCCAGTGAGAAACCTCCAGGACGAAACTGCGCAAACCACTTCCGACGCACTTGGTCAGTCACGGCCCCTTCTCTGTGCGCTACACAAATCTTAGGCACTTCCTTTGGGTTTTTACCCTTCTTGATAGTAGAGCATAACATGCTGAAAACGTTCCTTATTTTCATCCATCTCCAATAGTGCAATGGCTGCACGGAGGTTCACCAATTCTGATGTTTTTTAAATACCTGCTAACAAAATTCTTTCGAATGAAGTAAAGGAAACTAAGAGCTACTAGAACCATCCTACAAGAAAAAGCAAACAAACTTTTTGGCCAACTTAGTATGTCAAGATGAAAAGTCACAGGGGAAGACACGTGAAACGAAAGTGGAACTCCCGGTTTTCCAGAACTGACATGCGTGCTCAAGCCCAGCTTCAGAAGAGTCAGTACCCACTCAAAAATAAACGCATTCCGCAGCACAAGCAACGGCCCTCTCCCAGCCCCTCGGCAGGGGACCAGCTTTGTGACAGCGGACACTCCTGCAGAGGCGTGCCTCAGAGCTCGGCCTCTGACTCCTGTCTCTCCACACGCCTGCACCCGGCCAGCCCACCACCACCAAGTGCGAGGAACCACCAGAG